TTCAGCTCAGTCTTTCAGAATCCTAAGTTTTCTTTAAAGGTCACTCCAAATGATACTTCTTACATAAAGCCTTTCCTCATTCCCTCATCACAACTATCTTATATGATTTTGCAAAATCTAGATATATACTTATGTGTATACATGTTGTCTTCCCCAACAGAATGTAAACTCCTTGAGGGTAAAGATTGTTTCATTTTTGTCTTTGCGTGTTTAGTGCCTAGAACATATTAGACTGTCCATATGTTCATCATTTGGTTGATTGTCATTTTGAAATCCAAGTTGGTCAGTGAGTTCCTTATGGAGCCACATATAATACCTTTAGATGCCCCCCTCTTTTATTTCTCCATGGAAGTTCATGCTTATATCATAAGAATTTACTTCTCAAGAACTTCCCATCCTTCTTAGGCCCACCATAATATTAAGCCAGAGGATCTTGTTCATATTTTCCCTGAACTCTGAAATCTATTCTTCTAAAGTCTAGGTCACACATCAGACTGCACATTTTCCCATTTTTTTTATCGGTCACAAACTCTAAGATAGTGTGATCACTTCCTTCGAAGATCTATCATCTCTACTGAACAGAATCAGATCTAAAATAGTAGTTCCCCCCATTGCTTCTTCTACCTTTTGAAAAATGAAGTGATCACTAAAGCCATTAAAAAATTGATCAGCAACTATACTATTAGCAGAAATAGAATTCCAGCACATGTCTGAAGAGTTGAAGTCCTCTGTCACAACCATGTAATGCCACCATAACAGGTTTGTGAGGTTTCCCAAAGTTATCATACATATCTTCTTTTTGTCACTACTTCATGGTGATTCCCAAAAGATCAAACTTACCTCTTTGCATGAAAGTATCTGGTTTGGTTTGGTTTTGGACCGGACATGTGATTTAGAGTACTCTCAGTGAAGAAACTCTATCGTTGTAGATTGTGACCTGTTCTGTAACTTGTCTGAGGCACCCAAAGGTTCAATGACTTGCCCAAGGTCACACAGTCTCCATCTGTCAGAAGTGGGACTTGAACTCAGGCAGGTCAGGTCTCTATAGGCTACACCATGCTGCCACCTCCTTATTGATTCTTATGTGTCTATTTGCACATTGACATCTGAGGCCATGAGTTTCATTGTTCCCCCTTTTCTCCACTGTCATCTCCTGTGAATTACTGGTTCTCTCCACTGTGCTACTCTCTGTCATATCTGACTTGATGGATGTTGCTGTTGAGTCATTTCAATTACGTCTGATTCTTCATGACCTCATTTGGAGTTTTCTTGGCAAAGATACTGGAGTGATTCACCTTTTCCTTCTCCAACTCATCTTACAGGTGAGGAACTGAGGCAAACAAGGTTAAGTGACTTGCCCAGGATCATATAGCTAGTAAGTGTCTGAGGCCAGATTTGAGTTCAGGAAAATGAGTCTTCCTGAGTACTCTATCCACTACACCTTCTGTTTTTGTGTTTGTCCTTCGTTCTTGAAGAGGACCAAGATATCAGAGAGAGGATGACACGACTTGCGATTGACTGTGATTTGAGTGAGGAAGGGCTGTGCAAGGTCACCAGCCTCACTTTCTCCTCCAGAGCCAGCTGGGTCCAGTGGCCACATATTCATCAAGACAACTGGAGATTGCCCAGGATGCAATGGGAGACCCTAGCCCTTTTCTTTTCAGGTTCTCACTTTGAGTGAGGTAATGCCCATTCAGTGAATAGGCCTCTTTAAGAAGTCAGTCAAGGGATGGCCCCTTTAATTAAAAAAAAAAATCAAATTGGGAGGGGAAGACCCTCAGGGTTGCTGGCCAAAAGAAAAACAGTTACTATTTGTGTTTGTCCTTCACTCTGGAAGAGGACCATGACATCAGAGAGATGATGACATGACTTGCAACTGACTTTGATCTAGCTAGGTGGACACCACTCTTTTCTCTTCTCTACTTCCAGTTTTAAGCTCTTTTGATGATATATGAAACGCTTCCAGGCTTAAGTACCAAGAGGAAGAAGACAGGGAAGAATGTTTGCGACACATTCTAAATTTTCATCAAAAATAACTAAAATAATTGTTTTTGTCTGAAAGGGGTAAACTTCAGTTTTGCCAAAAACTCATTTTTGTGAAGCAACTCATTCCTTAATTATGCCAGATGGTAATCTGATCCAAATCTATTTTCATTCTTTAATGTATCCCCATGGAGTTCTCTTTTTTTGTGTGGAAATAAATCTTTGTGTCTTATTGATTTGCTGTAGTTTCCAGTTTGTTCTCTGCATCAACAATGATCACCTTATCACTTGCAGAGCCGATTGATCTAATTATTTTGTTATCGATGAACAGAATGTCATCAGGTCCTTTCAGCTTCAATTCAGGCAGGATGATAATAATGCTTGTTTATAAAACTGCTTTGAAATCACCGGGGAGAAAGTGCTACACCAGTACAAAGTGCCCATTTATTACTCCCTTGAGAGCCTGCCTTGGCTCAAATGTGAACTCAGGGCATGCATTTTTAAAGATTCCACCAGGCCTTTTTCCAGTTCTAAATGATATGCAGAGTTAGGTACAATTTTGGCTGCTATTTCTGTCAGCGTGTGGCTGGAGGGGAAGTAAGCTGAGAGTGGGGTACACTAAGGGTGATCAAAGAGGGCAGGGAGGGAAAGGAGCTGTCATCAAAGGATTCTTAATTTCCCCAGAGGCTGCCAGGCTGCCACAAAACCTAGAGATGGCTTTGAGTATGCGGCGAACACTCACCGCTGTTATTGCTGGGAACCTTCACGGTTAGGCAGATTGCTGCAGTAGGCAGCTGTCCCTGTAATAATGTACTCCAGAGTTATGCCTTCATTGATTAGATGTGTCTAATTGGCCAAAAAATATTAGAACTAGTATTTCTTTGAAAAAAGGTTGTTTAAGTTTTTTGTTTGTTTTTAAGATAGTTCCTAGAACTGAACATGTTATCCATAACTACTTAGAAAGAATTAAGGTAGAATCCTGGTTTGACCCACCCGGGCCCTTTGGGGATGCTAGATCCTAGCCCAGCAAAAACCCAAATGTAAGAGGTTTAGGTAGCAATGGACTGGTATGCAGAATGCAGTAAGTTAGTCATTTTGCTTAATTCAATTAATTTGCCTTTACTGCAAATAAGGGAACTAGGTAGCCTCTAAGCTGGCCCCTTCCAGTTCTAGAGCTCTAATGCTATTTCTCTCCAGGTAACAGCTCCATAGTATAATGTGGTACATCCACTGGATCATAGTGTCACCTGGTATCCCTTCCACAAATAGGCCCCTCAAAAAGCTACCCTAAGTTCAAAGTATTCAGCACCCACTCGAAAATAATAGTTCGTAAGCCCCACCCAATGTGTCTCCTACAAGCCAACTAGAGCACATGGTGCAAAGCAAAATATATGTTAAACAGCATAGTGAACAAAGTGACAATAAATGATGTTCTCATGAGCACTTGAATTATACCTTCCCACTATATTTCTCATGCGAGAGGGCACACACAGAGAACATATGTGTCTATGGAACTCAAATGAAAGGTGTCCATATGTGTCTAGGGAACTTGAGAGGAAAGAGATGGAAATGCTCTGTGCCTTTGTGGCCGGCATGCACATATGGAGAGCATACATCTAGGGAAATGTACAGCTAAGGCAACTCACATTTCCACCATTGCAAAACCGCCAGTGTCCTCTAATGCTATCTGCTGGGTGTGCCATCTTTGGGAGTCCCAAGAAATCGCTCTCCATCGTGTTTTGTTGGGAAGCCACAGAGGTCTCTTAGTTTCTGAGCTCTTCTCGGCTACCATTTATGGGGCTTCAGGTATTTACCCTTAGCAGGATCATTTAGCTTCTTCTAGACTATCAGTTGCCTTGCTACCATCTGGGCTGCAGTGGTTAGAAAGTCTTTCTCTGTTAGGGAGAGATACAGCTCTTTTAGTGCATAGCTGAGGGCTATAAACCATGATACCCAGCAAGGCAGACAACAAAAGCCAGCAGAATGTCCCAGTCTAAGATTAAATCTATTCTCTTAACTATTTTTCTCCTTGCGTTGAAGCTGAAGTCGTTGGTCCTAGAGACTTGGTTTGGGGTTGGAACATTCCTTTTGACTCCTACTAAATCCTGGATCATTATCTGCAGCACCTATGCCCCCTCCCCATATCTTGAGAATGTCACCAATGCCTCCCTCATCAGCTACGTGGGGGCTTGGGTGATGAGGCTTTCTTTGATTCCACGACCCTGTTTGGCACACAAATTAAGGCAAGGGCAACGACAAAAGCTAGGTGAAAAAGGACATCGGCCCCCACCCCTGCTTCACCATATTGACTTCATTGTGTATATATGAAGGAGCCTTTTGTGCTGCATTTGATCCGAAACAAATCTTACTCTTCTCCCAACAATAGGACCATAGGTTTAGAGCTGGAAGATTCCTTAGAGACCATCTCATTTTGCAACCAACCCTCTCATTTTGCAGATGACAAAAATTGAAGCCTAGAAAGACCAAGTGATTAGCCTAAGGTAATACTGTCTATGTGGAGTAATGGGACCAGGGCTAGAAATGAGGTCTTTTTAAAAAACTATTTTTATTTATTTTGTTAAATATTTCCCACTACATGTAAATTTTTTTTAATAATCATTTAAAAATTTTTTTGAATTCCAAATTCTCTCCATCCCTTAAACCCCTCCCTGTTTCCTGAGAAGGCAAGCATTTTGATATCGATTATGCATGTGAAGTCATGCAAACAAAAGAAATGAGGTCTTCTTACTCCAAATCCAGTCCTCCGTATGGGAATAAGGACAGCTGAGTTCCAGTCCCAGTTCTACTAGTAACTTTCTGTAAGATTCCTTTGGATTTCAGTTTCCTCATTAGCAAACTCAAAGTTTTGCTTTGGGTGATTTCTAAGGTCCCTTCCAACTCTGATATTCTAGGATTCTAACTCACAAAACACAGTCTGTATATAACAACTCAAGTTCTGCTGAAGGGTTTGAAGATACTAACTGTTTGCAAAAAGAAGACAGGCATTTGTTGGGCTCTTTAGGAGATGATTAACCTTGATCTGTTTATTAAGATGTGACTTCAGGAACACTAGGCCCATGCTGTTCAGAAATACAACAGAAGGCTTTGACGAGGTCAGTGAGAGTTGGAGCTTTGCCTGAACGATCCGGGCAGCTATCTCAAATCTTGATTTTTCTCTTGCCTGTGGAGAGCAGGCCCCCAAGAGGCTTCATTTTTAAGTCCTCCTTCCTGGGAAAACCAACACAAATCACGTTGTAATTCAGAATATTAAAGGATCCATTAGCCCTCATTGAGATGTGGGCCCTAAGGGAAGCTTAAAACTTAGAACACCCCCTCCTGCTGTGGGGACATCCTCCACACTCTCATGTTACCCAAACCAGCCCATAATTGGGCCCAGCTGGCAGTATGGGAGAAAGAGGCCCCTGTACTGAGCCAGGAATCAAGTTACATACTTTATCCCTAGAAATAAGCCAGTCTCCCTCTATTAAAAGCTAGGATATGTTAGGTCAAAGGAATTGCAGTTGGGAGCTAGAATCTTAATGGCCCAAATAGTACCTAAGACAAAGTGTTCATATTAGAAATTAGCTGCTAGGTTCCCTGCTCCAGGACAAGAGCATTTACGAACAAAATGGCTTGAGTGTATAGGTCTCCTCTCTGAGCCCTGTTTCATTTTGCCAGCAGCTGACAAGAGGCCCTCGTCTGTTTTGCTTGAAATAGTACAATAAATCTGCATGCTCCCCAACACCCTTCCTTCCCTCAAAGTCATTTCTTCTTAGCCTGTTACAAGTGCAGAATTCTTAATCCTTGCAGCTCGGATGAGATCAGCCTTAATGTGATTGATACCTCCAATTCCTGGAGTTTCCCCATCCCCAGTGTTTATGGAGCCATAGATCTATTTCTTCCCATTTCCCTTCGATTTCTACTTCCCTCTATCTGCTGTTGTTAACCTCTCTAACTCGGCCTTGGCCTCTAGTCTGGGTCTGATTAGAATACCATGCTCTGTCCTTTGGCAATTATACTAGGCAGCTGGTCCCCGTTCGCCTGCCAGACCTATAACAAGGAATTCTTGGGCCTAGGGCAAACTTACTTGAGAGGGGAGGAGTGAGGGTTAGGGGCACAAGTGGCAGGTCAGGGGACAGTCCAATCACAGATATAGTCATGCTGGGAGAGGGGGTAGCCCATCATCACCCAGAGAGTTTGGCCATTACTCTCGAAGCTGTTCAGATGGAGATAGACAATAACAGAGGTTGCCATGGGCATGGAAACCCGGGATTGGAGGCCCAAAAGTGTGTGGCATGAACTTCCAGAAGACCTTGAGGCAAAGTATGGGGATAGCAGGCAGCTAGTGAACCTCTTTTCAGAAGAAGTGCTCACCCACCCTGGATGTTGGTGCCTTGATAGCCCTATACACAATATGGCGCTGGCCCCTGTGAGAAGTCTCTGAATTATTGCTCTTCCTGAATTTCCACATGACGTTCAAAGAATTAAGCATCTGTTTGGTTGTTGCTGTTGCTGTCGAGTCATTCAGTTGTGTCCAACTCCTCATGACCCTGTGGACCGTACTGTCCATCGGGTTTTCTTGGCAAAGATCCTGAAGTAGTTTTCCATTTTCTTTTCCAGTGGATGTGCCTATTGGACCAAGAAATGAGGCAATGCCAAGGGGATGCTATGATTTAGCAAGAAGGGAGAAAAGGAGAAGGATAGAAAGAGAGAGAAAGAAGAATGAAGAATGTAGGAGAAAGTAGAACAAAGTATTGAAATGAGGACAATGTTGAAAAAAATGGAAGAAAAGGAGGAAGTAATTTGAGGAGGGATCAGTGAGAACCTAAGGGGGAAAGAGAGAAAGGCAAGGAAGCAGCACTCTGGAAGAGGTCATCCACCTTATTAGCACACATAATTGAAGACTTTAGGGAAGCTGGAAAAGTAGCTTCCCTAAGGTATTTCTCAGGGTGTGTGTGTGTGTGTGTGTGTGTGTGTGTGTGTGTGTGTGTGTGTGT